GGCTGAAACTGGGAGAAAAAGATTTCCCTCAATCTCAGAGAGGGAAAAAGTTTCAAGGGGAAGAAAACAAGTAAAGAAAAAAAGGCTCATGATCAAAGTGTGGGTGGTAGGAGCAGTCAAATCAATCCTGTTGTAGAATCTGCTGGGATACCTGTGAGAGGACGAGGGAGAGGTTGGGGATAACCCACGGTGAGTGCAGTCGACTGTTGGGTACAGTATGGACTAATCTGATGTAATCTGGAATGGCTTATTGCTGGGGTGGGTTAACAGTAGTGTGTGAACCTGCCATTTTGGTTAATCGTGGGTTAAATGGCCCAAAGTTAATATAACAACAAATCGTAGATTTGGGTCTCTCCCTCTCATTCTCTCTTTCTTCTGACTTACTCTCTTGTTTGGACACAGCAGTGAAACAGAGAAGGCACACATACACAATCAGTACTGGCCAAGGACATTTTCTGGCCTGGGGAGGACCAGAAAAAGCCTCTTTCTACTATGAACCTTATTGCACAGTATTGTTGTAAGGGTAAAAATGGAGAGATATTTAGTTCCTGTGGGAAATCCAAATCATAAATATCATAAAACAGGCTGGAAATAAATAATTGTTTTACAGTACATTCACAAAATGTTTATCTAGAATATAAAATGGCCACTGATGCATTGGATTACTATCTGTATGTGTACTAGAGACAAGATATATCCAATAGTCCACTTGGAAATTTATTTTACAGATTTCTAGGGAAGGGAGCTTGAAGACTGACACCAACACTTAAAACTTATATTAAACATTCAAACTTTGCAAAATATCCTTTTGCTTCTCATATGTCCCACTCATATCCTTCTATCTTCTGCATATACATCAACTCAAAGAACTTTTCTGTGTGGCAAACAAAGCAAAGAGTCTTACGGCATCTTAAAGAGTAATATATTTATTGTGGCAGACGTGCAAATGGACTATAGCTCATTTCACCAGAGACTTGGAATAATATGCGGGCTGTATTTGCATGTCATGGAAAACCATGCCCATTTAGGGCTGAATGGGACTAGTCAGCTGATGGTTCAGAGTGCAGTACAGTTTCTGAGTTGTCTCCTTCATCTTTCTGGCCTCACTCTGCATCCTGGCAGCTCCTGACAGCAAAATTGCCATCCTTTCTTTATTCTTGCTTATGGACAGCATCCTCTTCCTCCTCTTGTTTAGACTGCTGTGGTTGTGAGGCTATCCATGTTTCCATACAAACAATAGCAATATGGCGATCTGGGGTCTGGATGGCTGAAGAAACTGCAGTGAAATTTGAAAACCTTATAACAGAACATTGGTTCTCTCTGTGATTTCAGAAAACTAATCTTACCTTGTAGGAACTCTGGAACTGGGCTTGGACAACTCAATAGACCTATAATGATAAGATTTCACCATGGCTTCCTGTGTCATGCAAACTGGCTCATGGTCACTATGTTGTAAGGAGGGATTGTAAACAGTGTGTTCAGATGAGAAATAAATACATAAAGTATTTAAGGAAAGCAATAAGGTGTAGCAACCATGGACTACTTTTCAGTAGTAACCCTAACCCTAACCTATACTTAGCTACAACTCTGTCTCTGTCTCTGTCTCTCTCTCTCTTGGTAATGAAGTTATAAATAAAATGGAGAGGAGGATGTAAACTGCCTTGGGCTCCTTGGAAGAAAAAGGTGGGATAGAAAAAAATAATTAATTGACAGAGTTTAATTATATTGACAATTTTAAAAATAGTTCCAAATTCAGTAACAAAAGTGATTTTTTTTTTTTTTTAAAGATCTGACCTAGAAAGAGCATGAGGTCTTGTGATTCCTTCTAACCACAGATGTTGGATATGCTACTGTGCACTCTGTCAGGAGCTGGGGTTCCTCTTTCACGCACTCAAAAGCCAGAGACCATTTTTCTTGCAAAACTTTCTTTAGTGCCCAAAAAGCACAAAAGGCCCAGAATGAATCTCTGAGCATGCACAGAACAATTTGTTGAGCCCAATCTAGTAATCAGCTCCAGGTATTCTTCTTATGAGCATACCTGGGCCCATCCCTTTGGCCTTCTAAAAGTGAGCATGCCTCCTCTCCACACACGGATTCTCTGATTGGGGCAGCCTTCCTCTGCTGATGCTGCATCATGGAGTCAAGAGCCAGGACCACCTGATCTATGCCTGAGAAACTTCCCTGCTCTGTGTCCTCTCCTGCCAGCTATACATCTTGGTTATTCCCAGGGTCTGCTTACCCACCTGGGGAGTCTGGCCTTGAGATAAGTGTCCCCACTTCTCTCATCTCAGTGTCCCAGCATGGACCACATTCCCAGGTTCACCCCAGTTCTGCGTCACATTCTTACTCTGATTCTTCTGAAGCCCAGCTAGCAGTCCTTGCAAATAAATGCACAAAGCAGCCATCTCTCAGCTCAGTCACAGCAACACAAAAAATTCTGGAGTTCTTAATTATTTTTGATGAATAATAAAACTCATTGAGTGTAAGAATGTTTCACTGGAGACCAAAGCCAAGATCACCTATATGTTTGTATTCCCAGTCACTATGTATGAGTGTGAAAACTGGACCATGAAAAGAGGTGACAGGAAGGAAATTGATGTGGTAGAAATGTGGTTCCGGAGGAGAGCTTTGTGGTCAGACAGAAAGATGAACTAGTTGGTTCTAGAGCAAATCAAGCCAGAGCTTTCCTTAGAAGCAAAAATGACAAAACTGAAACTGATGTACTTTAGTAACACTGCACTTAACTGGAAAAGACAATCATTTTGTGGAAAGTTGAATACAGAAGAGGAAGTCCAAGCATGAGATGGATCCATTCCATAAAGGAACCCATAGTCTTGTTCAGAAAAGCTGAGCAGGACTGGCAAAAGCAGAACATTTTTGAGGGCATTCATTTACTTACAAGGTTACCATAAGTCACATCTGACTTGAGAGTGCATAATATTAACAGTGATCACTCTTCCATGAAGTGAAAAAAGACAAAATTGAAGGGATGTGTGATTCAAAATGAACCAGGAAGTACCTTCTACAGAGAAATGTTTATAGCTAAATATTGATTGCAGTTGCAACTTTATTGATTGAATACATGATAAGGCTACACAATTTGTCCCCACCCTTTAAATTTGCATATATTCCTGCTTTTTTAAAACTTGTAGGAACTGTAGCAATTAAGCGCTCTGAAAAGAAGCAATGAAAAGTATATGTGATCCAGCTTACATACAAATTCAACTTAAAGACTGATTTCCATCATTCATAACTCAGGGATTGCCTGTACAAGTTTGTAGACTTTATTGCTGAATCCTGGACTTAGTTCATTATTTATTTTTTCTATTTATGTCCTGCCTTTTTCCTACAGAGGGCTCAAGGCAGCTTACATCTCCTCCTCCATCTTATCCCCACAACAACAACCCTGTGAGGTAGGTTGGGCTGAGAGTCTGTGACTGGCCCAAAGTCACCCAGTTGAAGAACTGTACAAGAAAGAGCTTAACGTTCCTGATAACTATGATGGGGTGGTCACTGACCTCGAGCCAGACAGCCTGGAATGTGAAGTCAAATGGGTCTTAGGGAATCTGAGCAACAACAAAGCTAGTGGAGGAGACAGTATTCCAGCTGAGCTATTCAGAATCTTAAAAGACGATGCAGTAAAAGTGCTACATTCAATATGCCAGCAAATTTGGAAAACTCAACAGTGACCACAGGATTGGGAAAGGTCAGTTTACATTCCGATCCCAAAGAAGGGCAATGCCAAAGAATGTTCAAACTACTGCACCATTGCAGTCATTTCACATGCTAGCAAAGTTATGCTCAAAATCCTACGAGCTAGGCTCCAGCAGTATGTGGACCGAGAACTACCAGAAGTACAGGCAGGATTTCGAAGAGGGAGAGGAACTAGAGATCAAATTGCCAACATACACTGGATCATGGAGAAAGCTAGGGAGTTCCAGAAAAACATCTACTTCTGCTTCATTGACTATGCTA